AAGTTATCAATATTGTGTATACAGGGTGTGGGATAGACTTACATCCTCGTTGTGCACCCTGGGCAACGTATAATCATACGGCAATAAAGTCTATTAACCGGCAATTGACTTCTCAGTTCAAACTACCATCACCCCCACTTTAAGTCATATTCGACCCTACCACAGTGCTCATTTTACCCTTTCTGAGCCTTTGTGTCTGTCTGTCTATTACATCTATGAATCACTCTTCCATTCCCCCTCCCAAATTCTTCTCACTTTGATGCTCCTCCTCCCCTCTGTGAAGCCCGAAGTCAACTAAAGGGCTAATGATAATTATCAAAACGCCTGCCATTTTTTATAAATAAATAAATAAATATTGAGTATACAGTTAAAAGAAGAAACTTCAGTGTTGAATGTTTTGAACCAATTTGGTTTTCAAGAGACATCTCTTTGCTTAGGCTTTCAAAATAGCGACATTCGAGATAATATTGATTTATGGTTGATTAGATGCAGGCACTATTTAGTGGTAGTCGTATTTGAAGGTATTTTTGCAAACTAAGTTTTATGTGCACTTTTATATTTCCATATATGACCTTCGACATCCAATGACCAGAGTGGATTGTGCTCAATTCCATTGGGTGATGGTTAAATAATGGGTTAAATCTTCACCCCACTCCTAAAAGTTATCACACAGTTACAGTTAGCTAAGAAAAATTTAATGAAACATTCGAGACTAAAATGTGATGCAGCATCAAAATTGATTTTGATTTTAGATACAATTAAATTCCGAAAGTGATAGTGGTACTATAATGCAGTCTACACCCCTAACGGTGAAGTTACCAACTTCCTTGTCTGGTAATTTTTCCTTGCAAGAAGGGCGCTACACCATCTCCTTAAAAATGATTCTAATACTTCTTCTCACATCATTAAACTTAATTAACTACCAAAAGATTGTGAAATAACAATTGAGGATTATTATGGTTATTGCTTAATATAATGAAGATTATAATTATGTCTATTAAAACGTCGATTACGGCAGGTAATTGAAACCAAAAGTGATTCATAGCCATCCTCAACCCCCCCCCCTTCAAAAATGGCTGAATTAGTCGATAAAATAGAACCTCCATTTCTATAAAAAAAACCTTTATTGATTAATAATTGTAACTTTGTCCGAGAATGTGCTGTGTTATTTTAAGATGTCCTAGATTAATTTCAATCTATAGGCAAGTTTATGGCTAAAAATTCAGTGCTTTGGATTTGTCAGTCTTGTTTGCGACATCTTCATAAGGAAAAAAATTTAATCGGTTCTCACTACTTCTTATCTACATAAATCTGAAAATGGTTTACTTCTTGATTACAAAAATGTGCATCATATCTATTCATCCATATATCAATCTTGCACCTCATCCAACACTCCGAATCTCATTAAAAGGTGCTTAAATTCCTGAAGAAGGAAAAGTAGAGCTTGAAATATACAATAATTGACGAAATATGGAAATGATAAATTGGACTTAAATTGAACTGAAATAATCAGGCAGCTAAGAGATTAGGAAGTTAATCAGTATTGAGCCTCTAAAACCTTATTAAGCTGAATTTATGTTTGTTTCTTCTGTCAGAAGGCCAAATGCTAACCCATTCACTCTTCAAAAGTGATTTTGCAGAGTTTTTACAAGTTGCCTCCAAATACAAACGAAAACAAGAACCCCACATTTCTAAAACGGTATCTTTAAAAATTATATAATTATTTTCATAGCTTATGCCTATCAATTATCAGCCGATGTAAAATTGACAATATAAAGATAAGTGGAACGGGATTCTCGTTTTTATAATAATTCTACTCTTCTTTTTGGTGTTTGAAACTGGTGCTTATTTCTGAAGAAAATAAGAATCCCTAAACTTTTGTAACTTGGAGTTGAATTTATCAAAATTAACGTTCTTCTTATTGGCCGTACAACAGGTTGAGCAATAAAAGTTTAGAAGCTAATTTAAAACTAGAATAAAATACACGTGGATGACAATTAGCATTCAACTGAGCGAAGCCTTGATTAGTAAAATCGCAAGAAAGCCCAAAACTCTTTGGGGTTCCGAGTTTTTTGGGCCAGGAGTAATTCCCTTTTCCAATCATCTTAGTGGATCTTATGACAATGTGTACAAAAAATAGACATTTAAATTTTGAAGAAATGATCGAACGATAGGGCAATACATTTAAACGAAATAATAAAACTACGTAGGTTTAAAATTTGTAATTAAGTAAATAAATAAATTAATATTTAACGACTGTGTATACAATTTATCACTTTCAAGGTAAGCATGTCTTCCGAAAACATTTTCCAAAGAAGGTTAGGCGTTTCCTCCTTCAAGCAAGAGATCCACCTTTTTTCCACCTCTCGTGTATCCCCTTTCCTATTTTAAAGATTGGAGGAAATAAAGCGTTCGAATCGCCATTCCTCGGAACTTCTCTCTTTCTGCTTCTTGTACAGAATTCTATTTCGTTTTTTTAATTTTTAACTTCACTACATTCATTTATTCATTTAAAAGTCAAATTCAGGCAAATTTTATGATTTTAATTTTACGAAATGGTCGATTTGTACTGACTAATGCACGAGTTGAAATCAAGACTGCTTGAAATGGTAAAATTAATTGATTTTAACGCGCGAAATTTTCCCACCTATTTTTATTTAAATTAAATTGATTCTGTTAACAGAACGGTAGTGCTTCCAATTTATTCCTAACATATCTAGCAAGTAGAAAAATTTGTTTTGCTGAAACAGATTCCCACTAGCAATTCCATTTTGTTCTACTAGCCGACACTATTGGTTAAAATGACTAAACACTTTGTTTAAATATTATCGATTTCACTGCAATGAACTTATCAGATTTAATTATGGAAAGGTATATAAATAATCGAAACACCAAACAAATTTAGAGGGGAGCCAATGCTAACCACATTCTGAGGTCAAATCAGTAATAGTTTTCCCATGAATTTCGAAGGCACTGAATTATCCCCTACATTACTGGGAGAGCAGTTCATCTAGTAACAACTTGAAATTCATTTTCGATAAAGTGACCCCCACGTTTTCGAGGTAAGATATTATTCAGTGCTTATTGATAGGTTAATTTTATTCTGATTGTTTGGTCATGTCAATTAAATATGTCTGCATCTTCATAGTGTTAGAGGTCAGTTAAGTGCGACTAACAACGACTTTTAAACACCACTAGTGTTCCAAAATATCTGCTTTAGTTCTGGGTTAAAAACTCCGAGCAAATACCAATTACTGAGAATTGATGTGTTGGTTAGCTTCCACGTTCGGTAATATTTAACAATCGGGGTGCGCGATAGACTTGCCTCCTCGTGGTGCACCCTGGACAACGTATTTTCTTACGGCAAAAAGTCTATCACTCGGCATTCGTTATTGACTTCGATTTATTATGATTAGCTTTAAAAAAGGCTATAAGAAAAATCGCCCTCGTCAGGGCGAATCACAATGTCTTCAGATCCTCCAGTGGAATGCTGGAGGAATGTCTCCGGACAAAAAGATCCAAGTACAGAAAATCCTACAAACCTATGATGTTGACATTTTCACAATTATGGAAGCTAAAATTTCGGATGACAAACTGAAGTACTACCAATTCCCAGGTTACACCCTGTACAATCTACCTAAATACTGGCAAGTTGCAAGTGGAATTCTAACTGGGGTAAAAGAAGGCCTCACCTCATACTACGACCTAATCAAGAGTATGGGCTCGACACAAGACAAATGTGAAATAATCAGATTAAATGTTTGGAAATGTCAAAACCAATTCAAGATATATGCAGTCTATAATCCACCCCAGAATTGTCCAAACTTTGACTTTCTGAACATCTCACACAAAACTATAGTATTAGGAGACTTCAACGCCCACTCCACCAGATGGGGCTACAAGGATACAAACATAGCTGGAAAGGAAATTGAAGACATGCTAAACAGCAACATTCTGGAACTTATTTACAGAAATGAGGATCCGGCTACATATTTGCACTACAATGGATCCAGAACAACTCCTGATTTACTCTTGGCTTCAAGCGACATCAGTGAGCATACACACCGCAAAATAATTGACGATCCTGGTTCTGGTCACAAACCAGTCATTGCTAGTATTATCATCGGCAGCAAAAGCATGTCAAGGAAAGTGCCAACTAAGCTNCGAATTGGTACAGACAGTCACGGGCGTTAAGTGCTTACTTTATGCAGATGATCTTTTTCTATGGTATTCCGCCCCTAAGAAAAACGCTAAGGAGAGGACAGAAAGTGCTCTTAATAGTGCGCTTAAACTACTAGCAAACTGGTGTGACAATGGACAACGATGATAAACCAAAAAGCCTCTCTCTCCCCATGAATCCATTAGCAGACATTGATGTAGTGTGCTGAACCCAACTGCTCGACTTCTTCAGGAAATCAAACACTCCTCCAGAGCAAATGCGCTCACTGATCCTTGAGCCAATCAATGTCAACTATCCTGCAGATCAATGGCTCCAAGTCTTCACTGATGGGTCATACATAGAAAGCCAAGCAAACTTTGGTGCAGGTGTCTATTCTGAACTCTTCTCTTTCTACGCAGCAGCGGGACATAATAGATCCGCTTTTGAAGGAGAAATAGAGGCTATTAGGATAGCACTATGCCAATTATGTTGCCTGGATACGACATTCACCAAAGCGTTGGTACTTTCGTACTCACAGTCAGCAATAGACTCTATTGGAAACAGAGAGACACCCAAAACAGCTGAGATAAAGGAATGTAGAAAACTCTATGAGCTGCTGAGAGGGAAAAACAAAACAGTGGTCCTACAATGGATTCCTGGTCACTGTGGCATTAAAGGTAATGAGCTTTCTGACACACTTGCTAAGAAGGGGACAACGATTTTGCAATGCATGGACCGGCCGATGTCTTTCCACACAATGAAGGCCTTAATCAGGAGAGAATTCCAGACCTCAAGGTGCAAGGAACTTAAAGCTCGAACAAAGGAGAAACAGTGGACAGTGGCACTCTCCGACATACCCGACTGGCCAAGAATCGAAGCCGTTGCTGAGTTCAGACTACGTACCGGACACGATTGCTTGGCAAAACATCTTCACAGATTGGGAGTATACACTCAACCCACATGCCCTCTATGTAACCTACAGGAGGAAATGGAGAAGACCCACCTGATTCGGTGTCCAGCTCTAAAGACATGGACGGAAAGCCAAAGATACTGGGAAGCAAGAAGACAGCTAATGAATTGCTATTAATTAACTGCTATAAATGTACCCCCCCCCCTCTTGGGGGAAGCTGAAGTCAAAGATTAAGGGCTAATGATAAATATCATAAAGCCTGCCATTTGAAATAAATAAATAAATATTTAACAATCTTATGAAAGATAGTCAGTCTAGCTCAACTATCCAGTCATATTTATCGAGATGACAGTACCATATTCAATAAATCTGTTTAAACAGAAGTTGAAGGAGGAAACTACTCGTCTTCAATCTAATTTAAATGCTGTAGAGCTCAAATTGAATCATGGAGATATGGTCATAAAATTGCAATGAATTCAATTTGCTATTTGTGAACTTTTGAACTCAGAATCTCCCCAAAGGCCTTAAGGTCGGTTGAAGCTTAATTTGAAGTTAATTGTGGCTAAACGTGTCGGAATGTAAATTTGTATGAGCTATGGTATTCGCTCCTTTACAGTTTGTTCATTTTTTCAGTTATTGGATTTGATACTAAGCAGGGGGAACGCCAATATCTTGAAATGCTGCGAGAAGGATGACCTTCCTTCCTTCCAGATGCACCGCCAGATGCAGTTTTGCCACTTTGAGAAGCTCAACAATCTCCAATAGATTTTAGGCTAAAGAATGAAAGTAAATGAGATTTCGATGCAATAGATCAACGATAATCATAAAATCTCAGCCTACTAACTAGGTATGACTAAGTGCATAGTAATCGGAACAGTAATGATGACTAAGAGTCAATAAATTTTAATTAATTCCTTGATTTGGAACTGCTGAATCACTCGTATATCCACCTGAGCACTATGACTTTCTCCATGTCATAAGATTGTTCTCCAATGGTCAATCTATTTGAGTCAAATGGAAACAAATTACAGTGAGAGCAGTGGTGGGAACGAGTTGGTGGAAGGGAATGTGACTCACTTCCTCATCGTGGTGTCTGCGATTCTGGCACATTATTTATTCATGTATCTTTATGGCCGAATTTTGTACTCTTCAAAATAAATCTACATATTGGCATCTTTAAGTGCAACTCAACCGTTTCGGCCAAATTTTTTAAGCAAATACATTTATTTGCATAAAATCAAAGCTGGGTGGGGTTGAATAAAATATTCCCCATCACTAAATACGCTTGTCTGTCAAGCTTGAAAGTTAACGATTTTCATATACTGGCTCAATACTCTTATTGATTTTCTAGAAATTAAGTACTTCGTCTGGGAGTTTGTGACAACACAACAAATTATTTTCAAATTGGATCAGATGAGTATTTAATGAGTTCGAAACACTTGACAGGTTGGACATATGGTCGTGTACTTAAAGTAAATTTTTTTCCATATAACTATAAGCTTTGTTAAAATAATATATGTGAGTTTTCGCTTCACTTATAATACCAAAACCCTTTCATAAAGCAAGAAATCAGTTTCCCCAGTTAAATATTTGGACTATATTAGGGTTATAGGTGTTAATCTTCATGAAATGCTCCTATTACATACTGTAATTGGCACTGTGATTACGAAATTTCCCAAAGATGGATCGTGAACTCTTATCCGTATGATTTATCACTTAAAACAAGAAACATGCGAAATGCGTTCTCATTCAACATTTTACAAAACTCACCGCAGCTTGCATTTGTCAGCTTCTTAATTAGACACTCTATTTCAGCATGAATTCGACAAAATTCATTAGAGGATCTGCCAATAGTGGTTGAAATGCATTTCACTACTTTCCTTGAATCCGGAAATAATGAGTGGTGTCTAGCGCCCATAGTAAGTGATTTTATATTGTCTTGACAAATCGACCTCCTTGCCACTACGCCACTGACATTATCTACCTAAGTTTTAAATCAGGGAGTGCGATAGACTTACCTCCACGTGGTGCACCCTGGGCAACTTTCAACCCTTGCTGGTTTTCTAAACAATTATTCTTAAGAATACGATAGACTTACCTCCACGTGGTGCACCCTGGACAACGTACTTTCAAATGGCAGGCGTTATGATAGGTATCATGGGGTGTGCAATAGACTTACCTCCGTGGTGCACCCTGGGCAATGTATATTTAGACTTACCTCCACGTGGTGCACCCTGGGCACCGTATACTCATACGGCAAAAAAGTCTATTAACCGGCAGTTGTGTATACTCATACGGCAAAAAGTCTATTAACTGTCAGTTGACTTCTCACTTCTAACTCTATTGACCTGACTGTATGCCATATTTGACTACTTTCACAACATCTTACTCACCTTTTTTCTACCTTTGTGCCTGTCTCTTTTACATCTTTGAAATACTTTTCTGTTCCCCTCCTCTCGACTTTTTTTCACTTTGATTAACCTTCCTTCTGTGAAGCCCNGAAGTTTTAAACCAAACTGTCATTTGCGATTTATCAATAAATATTACCCACGAATTGACACACTTAAATCAGCGAACTATGCCCCTTGTTCAAACCTCCAAATGTATTTCCGTAACCGACGTCAATATCAGTAATCTTATCCCAAAATAGTCGAAAATTTTACATATTTCATTAATTTTTTATTCTATTTGAGACAAGAAGGATTAATTACCTGGTGGAACAGTATCATCAAGTAAAATTACTTATCCAATAGGAAGTGAATATCTTGATTTTTTAATATCAGTAAACGTAATATTTACGAAATAACATTATTTCGATTCGTATGTAGATTTATAGCAGTAAATATAGTTATTTTCTCTTCCTTGTTGTTCATTAATTAAAATTAGCTCAAAATTTACTGTAAATGAAAAATATTTATTGCGATTACGCTTTACTAATGAATTCCTTTGTAGGACATTCTAATATTATTAGATAAATAGTTAATTGTAACCAAGAAGATGAGACGGATACATCCTTCAGCTTAATGTGTTCACTTGCTAATTTGCATAATGCAAAGCTCGATTTCGAAGATATAAATGGATGCAAAACTTCGGTCAGCCAAAATCGTTGACAGATGTTTTATGAAACCGTAAAATACCTTGAAGCGAACTTAACCCCCGCGATATGCCGAGACTATAGTGTTACTAACAAAGCGAAATTAATCACATCACATTGTTTTGAATCGAATCGAATGGAACCGGGTAATGTGGCCTTGAAAAGACCTTGAACAACACTAAAATCCTTTATTAAGTGTTCATTTCCACTCGTGAAATCTGGTTCTGTGTGCGCAGCGAGTACTCCCTATTCATTTAGTTTTGTATCATTCTTGGAATTAAGCAAATGAATCAATCATAAAGACACTAGACATTTCAAGGCTTTCAACCATATTTAAATCTGTTCCTCACTAAAAATCCTCCACAAAGCTATCCTAACTCAGTTAAAATGCACCAAATGATTTATAAAACAGTTTTAGCACTAAATTCGTGCTAAAATTGCAACCGCTCAAAGTTTAATTGCCGGCACAAATCTTACTATAAGAAGGCGAAATGTTATAAAGCAGGAAAAACCATGAGACAATCAAAGATCAATCTTCTAATTCTTAAATTTCGAATCAATCAGCAGTTCTTACTTTGAAATGGGCATATAAATGGGGTATACATAAATTGGATAAACATTCAAAGTTCAAAGGAATTTTATAAGATGATTACTTCACCATTCACTAACAGGTATGACAGAAAAGGTCACCGTTACATTTGCGGAAGCACATCAAAGCCAGTCGGTACAAGCCGCTCATAAAACCTGCCTATTATCCCCAATAATGGCCCGACCGGACCAGGAGGCGTCCTTAAAGTATTATCATACATGAATGGTTGGAGTAATTGCAATAACATTGCTTACATCTTTTATACATATAAGCGTCTGTGTGTCTGTCATTCCACATTGAGTCGCCCATATTGACAGCCAATACAATTTAAATGGAAGGCAGTAAGAGATTAAATACTTAATGAAATAGAATTGAGAGATTTCATATTTCGCCTTGACTTACTGAAATGGCCAGTGGATCGATGAATGAGGGAGATAATTGA